AAAAAAAAAAGGGTCAAGCCAAAAAAAAAAAAAAAGATCAAAACCCTAAACCCTCCCAGCTGCATGGAGTTCAGCAGGGCAGCAACAGATCAACAGCCAGAAGAACAAAGATTATGAAAATCTGTTCCTTGTTGTGCAACACAAAGAGAAGTCATGCCTCTGTTCATGAAAGAGATGTTGGGTTTTCTTGGGCAGACAAAATATTGCACTCAACTATTGCTGGCCACACCTGCCTTCCAAATGTGTATAAACTATGTACATTGATCACTGTGAAACAGTAACAGAAACATTTAAATGATTTGCCATCTTAATGCGGCCACTAACACTTAGCTAATTAATAATAAAAGCAGAAATGCATCACCAGAAAAGAGGACAAAGACACAAATCTGCACAAAAGTTGACTATGTGAATTCATCTGTAAAGATGCAAACTTAGAAATTACTATAATGGTAATATAGTTCACCTCACTATCTTGGAGTGACTATGACCAGCTTATGTATATGTAGAATCTTGGGCTTCCCTAAATTGAACCGTTGGGTCCAAACAGAACTGATACTCCTCAGCACAACTCTCTTTATTTAATGTCAAGAAATAAAGCTAGAAACATACATGGCATTGTACTTACTTCAGTTTCAAAACTGCTTTCCATAACAAAAGAAAGCTTACTCCTTCTAATATATATGGCTATCTAAAAGCAGTTTAGGGCTAGAAAGGAGCAAGGTTCTAAGATCATTTAGTTCCGGATCCTTAAAATTAAATTAAAATAGCTGTGCTGTTTAGCTATGCATAAAGCTGTGCCTTTATGCCAACTCAGCTTGCAGTACAGAGAAAAGCTATTTATAGGCAAGTCCAAACATTTGGTTCTGGTTTCTGACTCTGATTTAAACTGATACAGCTGTTCCAAGAGAAGACTGCCCAGAGTTGTCTACAGGGGGGCAAAAAAGTCAGGATGGAGACTATGACCATCTGAATAAAGCCCCACTCTTTTACATGCATTGCATTGCATTTACATTGCATGTAAAAAGGGATGGGACCTTGTGTGGTGATACTTATCCTCTTGACTTTTTTAAACACCTCCCCCCCCCGCCCCCCATGGATGCCCCTGGACTGCCCTCCTTCTCCATGAAGAGGAGATTCTACTATCCAATGCATTTTACTGGTTTAAACAAGTGGGTCGATCGTGCTGAGTTTATTTTTAATTTGGAGCTACAAGGCATATTTGCGTAGGCCTGGTATTTCCGTCTGAGATGATGTTGTATAGCAAAAGTAATTAATTTTTTTAAAAAAAAACCTACTGGAAGAGCAGTTCTAATCCAGTTCAGAGATGACCTAAGGAGTGGGTTTTTTGACCTTTTTTTTTTTCTATATGCCCTTCTATCTAGGGAAGAAAAACATAAAACCACATAACATGCTAATTGTTCCACTAAGGACGATAGAATCTATAAATTTAGTTTTGCTTCTTGTTTTTTGAATTTTGGACTGCTTGTTTTCATATCAGTTTGCACATATCAGTTTGCACATTTTTCTTTAAAGGCTGCACAAAAATGCCATCCATCTTTGTGATTTTTTTTTCAATGGAAACAATTTTGAATCTATCTGAATAGATGCTTTATATCAAATCAGATTTTCCCAACCCGGAGCCCTTCAAATAATTTGAGACTATCATTCCCACAGGTCACTTTCAATAAAAGGGACTTTAAAATAACAAAAAGGAAGAAGAAACACTGGAATCTCATTGCCTCCGTAGATGTTCTATTAGGTGTCTTCAAGTAGAAAACAGTGTGAATGTGCTAACCGGAAACACTTTTCTGTAACTGTTCATTTCTTGACTTACTCTTCATCCTGCAGATTCTCCTCCTCTTCCTGGATCTGAAAGTGGTTCTTCACGGGAGCCAAGTTCTCTGTTTTGGCATTGTAATTCCGAAAGCAAATGTTGAGCTTCTCATCAAATTCATTGACCAAATCTTCCATGGACTTGAAGCTGATGATCTCAGAAGAGAAGTTCTCAAGCTCAGAAAGGGAAGGATCTTCCAAGTGCTGAGATGAGGAGCCATAAAAATAATGAGATTTCTCTTCCCTATCTGCTATGTAGCATGGCCTCAGATCTTCAAACTCTTCATCCAGGCTTACCAAAGGGGCTTCCATATTGGATTGACAAATGGAAGAAGGATGACTTCTGCAATACAAAGGACAGGAATGAGGCAATGGTAGCAACCAGTCAACCCTGACCTCAGCAGTACAGCATTGGTTATGTCCCATTGCATGCAGTCAAACTTATCCTAGGGAATTATCTTGGTTCATCTTTTTCAGGAAAATACTTTTGTGCAAGAGTAGCAAATGAGATAGGCTTTTGCTTCCTGGTGTTAAGTTACCACAGAAGCTTTCACTGCTGAAAATAGCAGGAGAAAAAGGAAGAAGAGACAGAAAGAATGATAAGATAACAAATAAGTCTTGATTGTGCCATTTCTTCCTTGTTTGTTACAATTGACACCAAGCTTTTTAAAGCTTTCAGCACCAGTCTAAGACATACCTGTTCATCCAGTGTTTCACTTAAACTGGTACTACTGTAACTTGCTGGCATCCTTTCAAAGAGTTTTTACTGAACTGTTATTTGTTTCCAACTTATAGGAAAGGGGGGGGGGGTTAATGAACTTTACCCTTCTTTGGAATTGTTTTTAGGGATAGTGGATTGAAATTTTATAAGTAAATAGTAAATAAAACCACTGATTCCAAACAGCAGAAGAAGTAATAATATCTAACCAGAGCCAGCTTCCATCAAAACTGATGATAGAACAGAAGCAGCAGATGAACCAAGTAAGGAAGTTCCATGACTTTGAAGATGAAATTGCTCATCTTCACATACTGGAAAGAAGAACCACCAAGCAAAAGAATAGAGAAAAGAATGAGCAAGAAATAGAGAATCCCCATCTATAGCTACCATGGCTATAACATAATAATATTCTGGCAGAATTTTGCAGCAATTGCAGATGACTCCCCCATCACAAAAAGGAAGAAAGGAAATGCTCATGCAATTCTGCATTTGGAAATACCAGCTGAATTATATTTTACTAAAGGATACAGTCAAGTCTACCTTTGTGCTCAATACTCCATCATTTTTACCAAAAACAAAAGGGAAGGAGAATTATTCTCCCCCCACCCCCACCCCCCAAAGCTATTCTCTGATGACTCAACTCCAGTTCAAGGATATGTGAAAAAGAAAAATCTAGCTCGGGTTTAAACAACTGAATTCATGTACAAGGAATATTGGGGGAAACCCGTTTTTTAAAGCAAAGGCAAAGCTGCAGAGTGAAGAGACAGAGTCACAAGCTGCCTTAATTGAAAAGCATGATCTTGCATATAATCACCTTAAGAAAAGACATTTGAGTCACTTGCAGTGGTTGAATTACAGCTGCATGACACTGGCAGTAAAAACACAAATAATATTGCCTCGGAAAGTTCTTCTGCCAGCTAAATCCAGATTGCTTCCAAGCATTCTGCTTTGATTTGATAAAGTTAGGGGCTGGGGTGGGGGGAGGCTGAACCAATTTAATTTCCGAAGAGAACCATTAACTTATTTGAATATCGCAATTTGGCAAATGAATTCATCCCCCACCCCAGCCTGAGACTAAGGCAAAGTTCTGTAAAGCAGGGCTTAAAAGAAGCTGCCTGCTGGGTCTGCTCACTCCCTCTAGATTTCTTTGCTGATTGATGGATGGGAGCCTCAGCTCTCCTTCTGGATTAAAATTGCTCTATTGTCACCATAGTCATTACAAAGAAAAGGCATCGTGATTGGGCTGCAGATCTGTTGCTGTGACAACTCCCCCCTCCCCCCACCTTGGGGCACAAAGGAACAACTGTTGCTGTCATTTCAAGGATCTGCAGATGAATCTAAAGCATTCTGCAACTTTCTTGGAAGCCAAGCTGATTTGAATAAGCAACGCCTTGATTGTCAGTTCATGAAACTCAGAATGAAATGTATGGATTTCCCAGGTGGCCCTCCAGACAGCTCCTCGCTGATATTTTGCATGCACTGTTTTACCACAAAATGTGGGACATTCATATGTATTAATGATCCGCTCTGGATCAGCAGCACGGGATGGAAGGGAAGCAATACCTATTCTGTATCTCTGTGTGTCTGTCTCTGGTTGCACATGGACTGGATTCAGGTTGAAAAACCACAGCTCTATGACACAGGGCAAGCATTGCATTTAGATAGTCTCAGGTCCTTCCAGTTAAAAGAGTTAGATTGTGGGAGACGTTCTTGCAATCAAGGCATGAGAATAATAGCAGTAACAACAACAGTAGTAATAATAATAATAATAATAATAATAATAATAATAATAATAATAATGGCATCTATGCAAGAATTACATTTTCATTGTTGATATGAAAACATGATGATGATGTTAAAATTTTATGCTCTTTTCCCAAGCAAACTGATTGCCATCTAGAACACAATGCATCAGCTATTAACAATAATTGAAAAGTAAAGAATAATTTTTGTTGATGTGGCAACACCCAGGGAGGGCAGAATCAAGGAAGCACAACTGGAAAAAATTACAAATATAGAACTCTAATCATCAAAATGGACAGATTGTGGGAAAGATCTTGCAAAGTCATCACCATAGTTATTGGAGTATCAGGGAGGATGACAGACAGATTAAACACCTTTTTACAAGGACTAAATATTTCAGGTATATAAGGTGTGGATAAAAAAGACACCTTGCTGGGCACATGTTATATCTTAAGATGCTACTTGGAATAATTCCTACGTTCCTGACTGGGACTCAAATTTCCAAAGAACACCAGTCAAAGAAGTGATTGTTTTGTTTGTTCTCTGTACTTCCTTATTCTTTCATGAATCAAAACCACATCACCATCATCCTACCTGCTTAGGGTAGCATTATCTCTGTTCAGTGCCCAGCCTAAGATAACCTATATTAACTTACCTGAAATCCCTAGGCAATCAGGAACTCATGCACAGTGGGTCAGATGGCTGGCCAAGAAAGGACCTATCCCTTCTCCGCCAGTCTGGTTTATTTCCATGCTGGCCTCTACCAGTATCAAGACCAAGGAAATAAAAAAGACAAAAGTCAGAAAAGAGTACTTTTTCCAAAAATTTCTATTCCATCCCTTTTTCTTCTCTGCAGAGGAAACATTCCTCAGGGCCAGCATGAAAACAGAGGATACTAATCTCTTCTTAGCAATACAATGGGGTGTATCCCTGAAGGCTAACAAGTTGCGTTATAGCTGAAGAGTCCTCTAGGCAATTCTGCCAAGGCACTGATGTCCAAATCTGTAACATCCCTACTGTTCTGTGACTTGTCCTCTCTTCACTCCATCTGCCCTAATGCTCCCACAATAGCTGTGCCCTACTTATGACTCTATAGCACCAACAGCTTTCATTATTCCTATACTGAACTCTTGCACATAGCTCCACCTGACAACTCCAAGACAACTCCATCTGACCCAGCAGACCTGACACTATTGTGGCCATTCAGAGATTCTTCCTGCTACCCACATTATCAATCACTGATCTTTCCACTCCTTCTATTTTTTATTCTAACTAAATTGACCTCCAGATGCAAGAGGAAACTCAGCTTCTGGTCAGGCAACAAAGCAGAAACTGACCTTCCAATTACTGCTTCATTTCACATAAGCTTCCAATTCCCTTTGGTCAGTATGATATGACAAAAACAGCTGAAGGTAGAAGTCAAAGGGAAATAAGAATCAAAATCTGTAATTTACATGGCATTGCCACCCATTTCCCTTTGTCCTTCTCTGTATAAAAAAATCCTAAAACATCTCTCATTGTATTTTTTGGAGAAGACACACTTTAATGTCTCACTCTGGGGGGTTCTTCTCATGCTGTTATTTAGGAAAGCCTTATGGCTTCTGGGTTCATGACAATCAGCACAACTCCTTCTCAGACATAAAGTTGAAAGAAGCCAAGGACCATCACCCAGTGCCAGTGGTTCGTAGGGTTGGCATGCACTAAGGCTTGCCTTTCCAAATGGAGGGCTGCATGGTACACATGGACCTGCAGCTTTTTCCCCACTCTTCCTTGTTACTGCTGCCTGCTTGCTTATTGGCTCTTTGTCGGCCAATGAATTAAGAGCAGAGACTGGGAGGAGGTGGCTCATTGAAGGAAAGGAAGGAAGACTGACACAGAGAAAGTCATCCAAGGTCACGAGTCAATATCATGCCAACTTGTGACAAGACACGTTTTCCAACTTCCCAACCGCAAGATCACTCACTGATGATCCTGCAGCTTGGCCGCGTGAGAAAGTACATTCAGGGGACTCAGACAAGCAAACCAAGCCATGTGTTACTACAGGGGAAGATAGCAAGCAAACCATATCTCCTATCTGACCTGGCAGAAGTCCCGTGCATTCTTTAAAATGTAGCAATCTATCGGAACTTCCCGAATGAGAATTCCACACAGGCTAGGAATGCTAGAAGTTTAACCCCTCCTCCCAATCAGATCAGGAGACCCCCAAGTTGGAAAACGCTGCTCTGCTGCATCAGGCTTAGGCTAAATTGATTGGCCCTACAGTAGCTCATCATCCATCAACTTAAAAGCCAAGACGGTGTTTGTTCTTTGGGATAAAGATGTGCAAGGGGAAAAATTGTGTTTTAGTAAGTTCGAAGCCATTCAGAATGCATCTTGGCAAATGCAAGATAGGAAATAGCAAGCTAGGCACTTAGGGGGCTGCTTCTATCTCCCCCAAAAGAGAGAGGAACTGCAGCATCAAAAAAGAAAACAAAAGAAATGTGTATTTACTTATGCTAATGTATACTTACCTATGCAAATTTTGAAATAATTGCTATGTTATCAATAGAAATATATTACATTATGTTATCAGAGGGTAGACTGTAACCAAGTAAGTTGTGTATTTGCACAGTCTACCATAGTAACGGCTGATGGGTACGTTCAAGGCCCCTGGCTCTCCCTTCTGACAGCTATCATTAGACTGGATTTGGATTGAATAGTCCATCCAACATTTTTAAATCAAGAACCCATCTCTGTAAAGCAAGCTTCAAGTCATGCACCACCCAACATGAGCTCACTTTGCAACTGGGAAAAAAAACACAGTCAACCACCCACTCTGTAATTTAACTTCTCGTGACTCTGAGGAGGGAGCCGAGTTTTAGCTCTAGAAACGTGTAGTCCACATTTTAGCATCTCCGAAACAAGCTAAGCACAACATAGGGAGAGTGAATTATTAGGGAGTGAGTTTGTAGAAGTTCATTAAAGGCTCAGTAAGGATGTTCTTTCTTTCTCTCTTTCATACAGTAACCCCACTAAGTATATCGCTATTATGCGCATGTTATAAGATGTGAGTGGAGAAACAGGCATTATGACTTGTAGCTGGTGACTCAGTGAACTCATATTTCCCTCTTACAATGGCTAATCCTTAGGACAATTTCATAAATACACCTTATTTCCAACTATGAAATGCAAGGCTCAGAGGCCTAGATGGAAAAGCCATGTCTTCTATTGTCCTTAGACAGAGCTGCCTCCAAGTTTGAGATGATGGGCAAAAGCACTGTCATGGGCCCTCTCTTTTGATAGGTACTGGCAGCAGTGGCCATCAGCCAGCAACAACCTAAGGTAGCTGAGATCCATTGTTATAATCCACTGAATACCATTTCCCAGAGAGATGTTACACCGGGGGCAACGTGAGGGCAGCTGAATTCACATGGCTGGTGCTCCCAAAAGGCCAGTGAGAGTGTCATCCATAAGCCCCGTCCAAGTCATGGGACTCCAGAAGATGCCAGTTCCTGATTTTAGCCCTGGCCTAGCTTCCTTGAGCCTTCCCAGAATGTTCCACATCACAGTTATGCTATTCAGGAAAGGATGACACCAAGAGCTTACTTTCCCTTACAAGACAGTCCACCAGGAGTAGAAATGGGCAAAGCCCTATTTTAATGCTGATCTTCTAAAAATCAGTGAGGAAAAAGCAAAACACCTACAAACCATGGCCTCATCCCTTTCTGTTTTTGCTTTCACAGCATCCATCTGCAGAGATGCACAACTCAGCTTCCCCAGCATGCTCACGTTAACATCCCTTCTGTCTCACCACCAACCAAACAGCACCTTGCAGGTACATCCACCTGCCCTGACAGATTATATAGGCTTGATCCTCCCTCTCAGCTGTGCCTCCATCAGCCTCTCTCACAGGTTCTCGCATAAAACACACACACACTTCACAAGATATCACAGCCTCCTTCCCAGTTCTGAAACAACTCATCATTTTCCCACCCATTTCTGATGCTAGAAATCATGAGCCTATAATGATGTTACCTCCAATAACCCCCTAAATGCCCAAACATCCTCCACATAGGAGCACACGTACACCTGCCCCATGCAGTCTCTAAATAAAAACCTCGCTGCTCAGACATTACAGGCCTCATTGCAGAGACCCCCTCCCAACTCTTTGTCTCTGCAAATATCCCTGGTCACATCTCTCATTCCCTCTCGGTCCAGCCGCTTGATGGACAGAGACATTTCCCACCTGTACAAATACACGTCTCGTATCACACAGCCCAGCTGTCACTTGAACAAAAGACGAAACATCTCTTCTCCGAGCCCTGGAATGCAGCTTTAATCTATAGGCAAGGAGGCAATCCCACATAGATCCCTTCCTCCAAACAGACAAACCTTGTTCACATGTGCAAAGACGGCGCTGCCCTGCTTCCAACAGCTCCCCACTTGCCTAAACATGTATGCACATGTCAGGAACTCTTAGCATCTCATCCTTCTTTTACAGGCAGCAAAATTACCCCACCCCGGTGGCAGGCTGCTGTTATTTTGAAGGGTCAGAATGTGGGGAGTTGAAAAGGTATGATCTGCTGGGCCTTTCATAGCAGACAATAGGAGAAAGCACCTTTGAAATCTTTGCCCATGAGACACCTCTGGTCTTCTTGCCCATCCCAGCCTCCACAAATACACACCTGAGCGTGCCGGCAACTCTCCTCTCAGCTCAGCATCCCATCCGGTAGGCCCAAGTGATGGAAAGAAGAAAGGAAAACCAGTTCTGCTAGAGGAACCAGTCAGCAGCTTTCCGTCTGTACAGGAGGAACACTGTGCGCTGTTCCTAGCCACTCGGCTGCCTCCCCTCTCTGCAGAGAGCTTGAACGAGCCGTGGGCTCAGCCTCCCTCATCAATATGCATTAACTCCAAGACACGGATGGATAGCAACAACGCGATTGCTTTCTGATCCAGATGCCAGGCCCCTCAAAGAACATGGAAGCCCTAATTAGAGTCCAGAGATATGGAGATGGGAGATGAAATCTGGGAGGTTACGCAGCCAGTTTGGGGAAAGCAGAAATGTTCTCCATCCTTTATTCAAAGCCTGCAAAACAAAGTGGTGAACACAGCTCCAGCCAAGCCTATTGAGAAAACAGCTGCATCACTTTGGCTCCCCACCCCTCCAATGGATGGAGTCATCTTCGTATAAAGGAATATTCTAAAACAGTGCCAGAGCTGAAGTATCTGCTCCTGATGAGGCTCTTACGGAACTAGAGGAATGAGTGATTATGCTACAAGGAGGAAAAGATGTCACACAGCTCTTTTTCCCCTGCAAAAGGCACATAAATAAGAAAATTTGGGGGGAGGGAGTGGCAGATTTCAAGGAGCAATCATTTTGAACCTATACACCCTCTTCCCAAAGCAAAGCAGCTGAAGTCAAGAGGCTGGAGTTGTTTGGAATTCCAAACTTGAACTCCTAATAGTTGATTACTTTGATCTTCATGAACATTTATGCCTTTTAATAAAATTGGTTATTCTGAAAAAGTTCTACCAAATTCCTCTTTTGTGGTGACACAGAATAACATGGCTCCCCCCCCCCCCCCCCCC